GTTTTTGTTGTGTTTTTATATCATGTTTTTGTTGTTGTTATATCATGTTGTTATTATTTATTCATCAATTTATATATTCTTTTCATATACATTTTACTAATTTTCTTTCATTTATGACACTTCTATTATAGAGAATGGCAAATAGCAATATTAAAATATTTCTTCTAATTAATTTCCTTTCAATGTGCATGAATCCATGCACTGGGCCACGTTTTATTATAAAAGTCAATAGTAAAACAGGTATCAGTATGTGGAAGTTCTATTAATGTCAATTTTCTTGAACAATAGAGTAGGTAACACTTGTATCCAAAATCTTGAGAATGAGATTAAATGTTTAATTATTATTATTCATATGACATTTTGTATGTGTCTTGATGATCTAATATCATTGAACCTTGTCTCCCTAAATAAGATAAACTTGTTGAGTCATTAATGATTATACACCTGCTTCTCTGAGCCAGGCTCAAAAGCCAATGAAAGATGAGCTCTGGCTTCTAATATTACAACCTTGAGGCAGACCAGTGAGGAGCAGCTTTGCTTTTTATGGACAAGGGTCAGGGTGAGATTGGGTCATTTTCTGGGACTGTTGTCATTGCAACAAACTTTTTGCTGCCTACATCCAACACCTTTTATCTTCCCTGCTAAGAAAAAGCCTTGCAAGGATTTACACACAAAAATCATGATCCAAGAGGAATCATTAACACCCATGTCTTTGCCTCGCTACAGCCACCACAGCCAGAGAATCCCATGACTGAGAACAAGGATGGGAGAACAGATGCAGGAGACTGCTCTGATGGTGCACATTCTATAATGGGTACTCCAGGGAGTCAGGAAAGGCTTTCCCTGGGAGGTAAAATCTAAAAACTAAAGTCTCAATGAGATTAAGCTAGTGGGAGGGATGAGAGGAGGCTTATTTTTTGGGTAGTGGGAACAGCATGAAAAAAGCTTAAAGTAATAGCATTAAAACTATGAGGCTGAGTGACCTACCCTATGTCTGCCTGACTGCCCGACCGACCAGTACATATGACGCGCACTGGCCATTTAAAAATAAATGTTGACTTGCGCATGCACGATACATATAAAGCTCTCACTGGCGCCAACTGCACATGTGTGTTTCGATCTGTCATTGCCTATCATGAATTTGATTGTTTCTGTTGACATTCTGAAGCTGAAAGAAAGCAGTATGGTCGACAGAATATGTCTGAAAACCAACTATTGGCAAAACGTACCTCTGAAACCGAAAGAAGCCTGCATCGTCGACAGAATGTGCCTGAAATATTTTTTTCTAATTAATTTCCTTTTAATGTGCACGAATCCATGCACCCAGCCACTAGTCAAATAATCATAAATAAAGTAGTTACATTGAAAATTATAAACTCTGCTGAGAGTAATTAAAGAAGAATTAAATAAAGACATGATAAGATGTATTATGTTCCTGAAAGTAAAAACTCAATAGATACATTTACTAAATGTAACAATCTAGAACCATAAAGTTTCTGTAAGAAACCAGGAAGAATCTTCATAACCTTAGAGTAGGTAAAGATTTATTAGTGAGAACACACAAATTATTTGATTATAAAAATGATGTAAGTTAGGCTTTATGAAAATTGAAACATTCATCATGAAAATGAGTAGGTAAGCCACATACTGGGAAAAATATTCTCAATACATATATCTGACAAGACTCATACCCAGACCATATAAAGAACTCTTATAAATCAACAATAAAAAACCCAATTGACCTAATTTTACAAATGAGCAAAAGACTTGAATAGACACTTTACAAATGATGCTTAACATCACTAGTCATCAGAGAAATGAAAATTGAAACCATGATGGAATACCATTTCATATCCACTAGAATGGTTAAAATAAAAAAGACTGACAATATCAAATGTTGGAGAGAGGGCTTAGAGAACTAGAACTTTCTTATGTTGCTTGTGGGAATATAAAATGGTAAAACTACTTTGGGAAATTGTTTGGCAACTGACATTCATTTATTTAATGACCCAGCAGTTCCACTACTAGGTATATATTCAAGAGAGATAAAAATATATATCCATAAAAGGGTTTGTACAAGAACATTCACAGGCTTCATTCATATCCTCAAAATGGAAACAATCCAAATAAATACAAACAGGAGAATGGGTAAACACATTTTGATGTGTTCCATATTTATATAATGGAATACTACAGCTACATAGTATTCCATTATATAAATATATCAAAATATATCAATAATGTGAATATTTTTCAAAAATACTCTTGAGCAAAACAAGTCAGATACAAAAGACTACATACTAAATGACTTGATTTATTTGAAGGACAAAAATAGGCCGGACATATGAAGGGTGATGGGATGAGAGTGGTTGCAGTTGGGGTGAAGGATATTGAATTGAAAGGGATGCGCGAGAACTTTCTAGGCTGATGGAAATGTTCTATAACTTATTGGTGGCAGTTGCACCGTGTACACAGCTGTCAAAACCTCTCAAACAAAACACTTAGAATCTGTTATTTTATTGTCTGTAAATTATACCTTAATTTTTAAAAAGGCAAGGATAAAAGCACAGTGTGTTTATAGGTGCAAATGACTACTCAGGGCTGATGATTAATTCTTTTCTCAAATTCTAGCCCAGGAAACAAGAGTACACCCCCCACTCCCATAAATTTTTCCTTTAATTTTAACCCATAGTGATAAAAGGGTTATTTACTAAAGACCTTTCTCCTCACGGTATGTCATACAGAGTTGAAACCATCAACAATAATGAATTAAATCTTTTCTAAAATGGAATAGCTTATCGATGATGATTAATTCTTTTCTCAAATTCCAGCCCAGGGAACAAGAGTACACCCCCCACTCCCATAAATTTTTCCTTTAATTTTAACCCATAGTGATAAAAGGGTTATTTACTAAAGACCTTTCTCCTCACGGTATGTCATACAGAGTTGAAACCATCAACAATAATGAATTAAATCTTTTCTAAAATGGAATAGCTTAGGATATGTAACAACAAGAAAAAAAGCAGACTGTGAAAGGACATGCCATCTGTCCTTAAAAACTTTGGCTGGTGGAATAAGAATTTGGGTAGAGAGAACTATTCAAATAAGCTTATATATGTAAACTTCTCCCACCTTTGACTTATACTCAATAAGTTATATCCCTCAAATATGACCGATATCTGAAAAACAAATTCTGTGACCATTATGATATAAAGAACTTAATTCAGTAATCTTTTTCAGAGTCTTGAAAATAATGGATCTTCAATAATTAATTAATGTATTTACTGATTAGTTAGAATTTATGTCCAAATTACATATGCCCATAATGGAAAATATACTACAATTATATTATAATGTCTTCATATAAAATGTTTGAACCAGAGATGATTTCATTAGGTGATTTATGGGAAGTATATTTAAATTGAGTATATGAAATAAGGTATAAATCCAACTCACCCCAGCTTAAAAGTTTAATCATTCTGTAATTACCTGACTAGATTTTTTAAAAAATGATAGAAAAAGTACTATTGTTAGACATATAAAGCAAACACACAAACCCCACTGAGTCGAATTTTGGCCTCCACTGGGGTATCTACGTGATTATAAAGGCTACACGTGCATTGTTTTGAACTGAACACCACATTAGCCAGATCAGAAAAGCTGTGAACTGAGAAGGAAATTGTTATTCCAGCGATGGAACCTCAACTCGAGAGTATTATTCTGCTGGCAGCCGGGACTTCAGCGCATTCTCACTATGAAAACCAGTGGCTTTTAATCACACATTATAAAAGCATTTGCGATGCTCTGCAGGCCGCCTTCCTTCAAAGATTTCCCTGCTGCTTTCCTTCCTGAGCACAATAGGTTCAAGATGGCTAATGCTGTTTCCTACTTGTGCCAAGAACCTCCTGAATGCCACTGGGCTTTCATCATGAAGACAAATGGCAAAACATCAAATGGGAATATCTCATTCTAAATGGGGACGCCAACGATCATGTTATTTTTGGGAGAGCAGCTCTCCGGCTCCATGGATATCACTTGAACGGAGTAGCCACGCTCTTCTGCAGCTCTTGCTCGGTCCAGATCCACCAGGCACATGCACTGCTTTCCTGCAATACAGCCCAAGCTATCATGAGATACTGTCCAGTTAACAGTGTCATTTCAATTCATTTAAGGGACCCTATACAGTGACACAATCTATAGGTGTATGGAGAATGCTGTTTGCCCCCACGTCCTGTTTAGTGTCTCTTTGCATTTAATTCTTGATCAGTATGGAGAGAAAACAATTACAAATGTATAACATGCCTGAGATTTGTTTCCACTAGTAATTTAAATAATGTTAACCTTCTAAAATATGTTTATAAATAAATCTCAAATAAAAACTACAGATTCTGTTTCCCACTTTGATTAAAAATCCATCTAAAGACCTTTCCTCTTCATACCCTATGAGAACACATCATCTGTCATACTGTGAAACAAACAATATCTGCTTTTCATATCTAAAATGACATGCAAACAGAGGGCCATCTGAAAGAATGCTGCAGTTTGCACCTGGAGTTTTTAGGACAATAAAGAAGTGAGAAATAGAAAATATTTGTGAAAATTCTAAATTGTGTGCTGATTATTTCAGGTAGATGTGTAATGCTGAGTGTAATATAGTGTTAATTTTCAGAGCTCCTGTACGCATATGAAATAGTGGTATTCAATTTTCTTTGTAACCTTTGCAAAACAAGAGGAAACCTGACTGGCAAGTAAAGCAGTGAATTTGTGTTTGTTTGGCAAACTTCTATTTCAAAAGTAGCCCAGGAAAAAAATGACTTGGGGTTGAATATATTAAAAGTTATGGCTTTTGGACTTTCAAGTTCTTTAAATTCAGAAAAAGGTTACTGACTCCATAGAATTTCATTCCATTTTTCCTCAATAATTATAATGATACCTAAGCATTATTTCTAATGGATGTATTTAAAAGGCAGCTGATTCTGCTAAACGAAAGCTTCAGAAGTGAAGACAGAAACTGAAATGGAACAGTTCTTCAGTGGAAGACAGAAGAAGCCTCACAGAAAGACTGGAAGGTGAAATCAGTAGGAAGAATTGGCAACCAGAGAGTCCATTTTAAAATATTTTGTATATTTTCCTTAAAAGGCTCATGCCAAAAAAGATTAACTGTCTTAAAGTGATATAAAGAAAGATGTCTAGGATTCCATTTAGGCTAAATCACCCCTCTTCATCAACAGCCAGATGGCTAACTTTTCCCCCTTAAACTATGGTTCCTCCTCTAAGACTTCTGTAAATGCCCCCTCCCACCTCCATCTACTTAAATGAAACATTCTCTGTCAGATGGGATGCCCTACATTCCTTCAGTACCCACCCTGGGTTTACACCACAGCTCATTTAGCCTTGGCTTTGATCCCTTTCCAGAATCTCATGTTCACATGTTGAGGCAGTATCTTTACAACTGAAATGCAGTTGTTGGAAGTCTACCTTTTAGGGTCTGGGAAGCTTCCTAAAATGTTCACAGAACAAAAGTATGACCTGTGCCAAGTACAGATGTAGATCTTTGATGGAGTCTGACTTTGAACCTGACTTTCCGCTCTTCCACTAATCACTCCAAATGCTTCTTGTCCTTAACTACCAGCTTCCCTTCCAGCCACTCCCTTCTGGTTTAATGCCTGAAACGTCACCATGTGCACCCCCACCCAGCACACCAGTGATGTCTTCTCTGAGTCTGGTGAAGTTATATAAAACGTAATTCATATGTATGTAAATTAGACCTCAGTATGTATATTGGCCTATACATCAAATGTACATTCAACTAACTCAAAGTGTTGGAATGGGAAGGGGAGGTGGAAGGGGGAGGAGGAAGAGAGAGAGAGGTGGCAGGCAGGAAGGAGCAAGCTTTTTTCCATGTTTATGCACCAGAGTGTGAGAAAGAGAAGGAAATCACTTGTTCCTTCAGCTTCAGGTCTCCAATGCCTCTCCACGGTGGCTATCTTGCTATGCTGACTTCGACTGTAGAGTTTAATGGCAACTAGTTCTCATATAACACGGCCCCTGATGAAAGCTAATGACTCCGTCTGGCACTCTGCCGAAGAAATGTAATCTGTTTTCCAGACCAGGATGGTCTCCAGCGTGGGGCTTTTCTAAGTAATTGTTAAGACTAGTTTGGATTCTACTCAGTCATTGGAAGCCGTAACTTTGGACTCCATCACTGGTGGGCAAAAATGGACATGAGCTTCATGGCTGGGATCAAATAATTTGGGTTCATAGGGTGGCTCTGACATCTACCAGATGAAGGAGCCTTGGCAAGTTTTTGTCTCAGTTCTCTTGTCTCTAACATATAAATAGTAGTATATGCACATCCCATAGGTATTTTTATAAGAATTTACTAAGATAATGGGTGGAGGGCACTCAGCACAGTGTTTAAATGTTCAATAATTGTTAGCTGCCATTGTCCTTCTACATGTCATTTCTTTTCCTAAAGCAAAGTCTTGGATACGTTTATCACTTAAACTTGGAATGCCATTGTAGGCGTTTCCATTTAGGCAATATTTAACATTATAAATGTCAAACATATTGGTCTATGATTAATAATATACAAGCACCTTTTTTTTCTGAGAAGGACAATACCATCCTTGTTCATACGTTTTCAATCCATCAGTTTTGGTGTGCATAGTTGATCTTTTTTATTTTCTTATGGGGCTTTTGGTAGGTCCTTCAGTTTGTTTATAACAGTAAAAGATCTAACAATAATGCTACTCAATGTACTAACATTAAAAATGTATTTAACTTAATTATTAAAAAAATGGGATAAAGCATTGTTATTGTTGCAAAGCCTTTTTCAGTATGGATTAAGTTTTCTGGGGGAAATAATCTTTAGTTTCTTGTTGATAAATGAACCAATTTTTCCCGTACAGAGTCGCTCCATTCATTCCTAGGCCTGCGGTACATACTCTGCTCAGCAGCTGCGGTGAAAACACATACCTACGAGCCTTCGTTGGGGTGGAAGCTGGACAGCTGTCTGATCTGCAAATCGGCACAGGATCATGTGTTCCTAAAAGAGAAAGCAATAGGATGTGGGTTTGTTTTAACCTTTTGCTTCAAAATTAAACATATTTTTTAAAACGACCTCATTTTTCTAGAGTTTACATTAACTGGATAAAGCGCTGCACAAATAGTGCTTCTGAAATAAGCACATTGTCAGAACACAGCGCTCAGAACCTCGTTTCCCTCAGGTAGACAGCTCTACATCTGAAGGGCTGTCTCAGCAGCAGAGGCACGGAAGATGCTCAGGGCCACTTAACAGCTGCTTTTAGCGGAAATATACTTACAACTGGTGATTATAGAATGTTAAACTAGAAGACCTAAAGTTCATTTACATTTTTCCTTTAATGAAATTTGAATCTCAGAAACATGGCTCCAGAAACACCTTCTAAGCAGCGTTTCTTTCTACTACCAGAGGAAAGGAAGCGCTGCAGAGGATCGCAGTGGCTTCTGTCTTTCTCCAGAGACCCAGCACTCCCCCGCCCTCCCCTCTCCCTACCCTTGGCTCAGTCCCCACTCTTCCCTGGCTCACTCACTCTCCTCTCACTCCAAGTGCTGCAGGAGGTGTACCTATTTCTGCTTTAAGAGGAACCATAAAGTGGATCTGAAGGAATGGGAGGGAAAGTATTGCTTCTGCTTAACAATGTCAGGAAAGGTGCATTCATAAAGAGAAGAAGGCTTCGCAGTGCTTCTCAAACTTGGCTGCACATTAGAATCACCTGGGCATCTTTTTAAAATCCTGATTTCTGGGCCTCATCCTCTGGAAATTTTTTTTTTTGTTATGGGTTGGGGCCACAACATTAGTAACAAAGAAACAGAATTTCTGGGGGATGAGGCCCAGAAATCAGGATTTTAAAAAGATGCCCAGGTGATTCTAATGTGCAGCCAAGGTTAAGAACCACTGCTTCAGAGGGATGAGAGCTGATGCGGCCGCACAGCACTCTGAAATCCGCAAGGAGACTAAGGTAAGTGATTGGCTGCAGTCAAAATGACTGCAGTGCTCCCAGGCAACTGTTCATTCAGAACAGCTGCACTTTCTTAGTGTGTAAATGATCTCACCTGTCAGCTTAGCCAATGGATGGAACTCAGCTTCATCACCTGTCTCCTTGGTCTTCTGTACATTCAATTTGCAGCCTCCATTTTTAAATAAGCTAATTGAAATGAGTGCAATGCTGGGTCTTTTAGAAGGGTTAACTTTTTCTCAACTTCAATGCATTTGAGAAAACATTTCAATGCTCACTGTAACATTTAGTGGCAATGTCTAGAGTACTAATAAGATGGTTCAAATATATAACTTTTATTAAGTTTCCCTAAGTCAAAAAGGGGCAGAAGAATTTAGAATTATATAACATAAAAAGGCAAGAAAACCATACCCTTTGTCCTCATGATGTTTGTAAATTAAGATTCATTTTAAATATAAGTATATAGGTAATACTGAGGCAATCCCAACCTCAGATGAGGTTTGTTTCTCTTGTCCTGGTAAGTCCCACCCTACACAAATTATTAGAATTATCTGTGTATGTGTTCTCCCCTGTAGAAGTTAAAGACTGAAAGGGTGAGGCACACAGTGTTGGCTAATTGAACATGGAGGAAAACATTTCTAAAGTGACTCTCAAGAGATTGGGGCACTAAGTCCATGTAGTTCTGCCTGCCAGCCCACCCATCATGGTTAAGTTAGGAAACTGAGGTACCATCTTGCCACAGTATTCATAAGACTTCTCTATAGAGCATTTACATCTGAGACTCTCAAAAAGCTGGTGGCCAAGCAGCTTTGGGGGGTGTGGGAGAAAGAGGTGATAAAGATGAATAATTTTCCGCTCTCTGGAAGAGCCTGGATGCCCCGCCTCTTTTACCTCTAGGAATTTTTCTTTCCTTTCTAGGCAGTAAGATTGTGGCACCTGCCTTCACTTCCCTAGGCTCCTGCTATATATTTTCTCAGAGTTTGCTTTACCTAGCATCACTCAAGGAGGGAGTAGAACAAGCCTCTAGTTTCTGGTTATTTTTCAATTCATTTTCTACTTTATTAGCAGAGTCTTGGGAGAGTAAGGTGCGGTGTTTTGAATCTTATGAAAATAAAATTCCTGGGATACTAATTTTGCCCCCAAATCTTATAGTTCCCCAGGATATGAAAACTTAAATCCTGTACGCAAAGATGAGGAAAGTGCCAATTCTGAATAAAAGCATGAATACAAAAGTTCCTCTCTTCTCCACAGGTTCTGTGTATATGGTGGGCAGAGGTGAGGGGTTGGAGAGAGGTGAGAGGTCAGAGACAGAGTTGGAGCTGGGCATTTAAGAGGTACAGGTGGAGGAGATATAGGTGCCAAGGTGTAGAATGAATATTTTTAGGTCACTGCACCGATTTCACTGTTGGAAAGAGAAGAAGGTAACATTCGTAGAAGGCAAGGCTGCTATATAAAATGATACTATATATTTTAGTGAGTTTTTGCCAGAAGTTAAATTAACCAAACTAAAAATCCAATCTAATTTATCAACTTTTAATAGGATTATTTTTGCATTTCTCTCAAATATGATCATTTCTTAGATTGTATTATGTCATGCTATTGATCATTTAATTAGTTAATAGCGATGTTCAGAAAGCTAGAAACTGGGGCTTTTAGTCAAGAAGGTGCATAGGTAAGTGCTGTACTTGCACCCTACAATAACCACATTAAAATAAAACTAAACTACAGAACAGCTATCATTCAGAACTGCCTGAAATCTCCCTGAATGAAAATCCTACAACTAAAGATATAAAGAAGAAGCCACATCAAGATTGGTAGGAGGGTTGGAGACTCAAAATGGGCTGGTCCTACACCCATGTGTGGTGGATAAAAATTGGGAGGTGGGCACTATATCCAAGTCTCCACCAAACTGGCTATCACTGTTCACCCTGGCCTAGTGACTCCCTGATACACCACCTCACCAACTTGTAGGCCCACCCATGCTGTTTCCAGTGGCTTTCCCATATGAATAGCATGTCTTGGCTCATGCTTCAGACTTTCCTAAAATCTTTGTAAAACACAGCATCTGGCCTCAGCATGCCCTGTACCTCTTGCTAAATGGCTCCTGGCCCAGCACTAGCAGCAGTTGGCTTTGGTTTTCAGCTTGGCCTCTCCTGGGCACCTCCAACCTCCAAGCCCAGCATAAGAAGCAGCCCTCTGCAGATCACTATGTAGCTCATGCCTGGTGGCTCTGGGAAGAACAAGTGGTGGCTGACCTTTAACTATACCTCCTGGGAGGCCCCAGAGACAGCACACCAGGTGGACAGCTTTAGACCACATTGAAGCACCACCCAACTACCTCCACAAGTGACAAACTCAAGAGGTTGGCTCAGCAGGCACCTAGCCCTGCTGGAGTAAGTTCTGCTCCATGGGTGGGCCCCTGTACAGTTGATCCTCTATGGTGGTCACAGCCAGTCCTTGCAGCTGATCATCCTGGGGGTAAATCCCTCCCATTGATGTGCCAACAGAAATCAAAACTCAACAACAGGAGGTGTACACAGTCCATCTGGTGGTTGAGGGTACACCTGGAGTACCCAGTGCCAGTGAATGGGGAGGCTGTACCACTGGACCCTACAGGACACCTACTACATTAGGCCACTCTACCAAGCTCAGAAGATACAGCAGCTCTACCTAATACATAAAAACAAGCACAGGGAGGTGGCCAAAATGAGGATATAAAGAAATGTGTCCCAAATGAAAGGACAGAACAAAATTCCAGTAAAAGAACTACACAAAATAGAGACTAGCAATCTACTAGCTGCAGAGTTCAAAACACTGGTTATTAGGATGTTTGGTGAACTTAAGGAAAGAGTAGAACTTAGAGAGATATTAAATTGCATAAAAAGGAGATGGAAACCATGAAAAAGAAACAGTCAGAAATGATGGATACACCAACTGAAATGAAGAGTAATTTACAGGGAATCAACAGGAGAATAGATAAAGCTGAGAATCAAAACGGTGATTTGGAATACAAAGAAGCAAAAAACCACATAATCAGAACAGCAAAAAAAAAAAAAAAAAAAAAGAATCTAAAAAAAAATGAGGATAGTGTAAAGGGTCTCTGGGACAACTTCAAATGTACCAATATTTGCATCATGGGGGTGCAGGAGGGAGAAGAGAGAGGGGAAGAAATTGAAAACCTATTTAAAACAATTAGGACAGAAAACTTTCCTAACCCAGTGAAGGAAATAGACATACAAGTCCAGGAAGTGCAGAGTCTCAAGTAAGATGAACCTAAGAGGTCCTCACCAAGACCCATCATAATTAAAATGCCACAGGTTAAAGATAAAGAGCGAATCTTAAGAGAAAAGCAGTTAGTTACCTACAAGTGAGCTCCCATAAGACTGATTTCTCTATGGAAACTTTGCAGGCCAGAAGTGAGTGGCAAGAAATATTCAAAGTGATAAAAACTAAGGACCTACAACCAAGATTACCCTACCCAGCAAAGCTATCATTTAGAATTGAAGGACATATAAAGAGCTTCTCAGACAAGTAGTAGTAGAAAAAGAAGGAGGAGGAGGAGGAGGAGGAGGAGAAAGGGAGCAGGAGGAGGAGAAAGAGAGAAAGAGAAACATGAATACATGAAATGTTAAAGGGTGTTCTTTAAAAAGAAAAAGAACAAAAAAGATAAAAAATATGAACACTAAAATGGCAATAAGTGCATATCTGTCAACAATTCAATCTAAATTGAATGTAAAAAACAAACAAGCAGAACAAAAACAGACTCATAGATACAAAGAACATTTTGATAGTCAACAGATGGGAGGGGAGTTGAGTGAAAATGTGAAGGGATTAAGAAGTACAAATTGGTAGTAACAGAATAGTCATGGGGATGTGAAGTACAACACAGGGAATATGGTCAGTATTATTCTAATAACTATGCCTGGTACAAGATTTATCAAGATGATCACATAGTAAGTTATATAATCTCTAATCACAGGGTTGAACACCTCAAACTAGTATAATATTATATATCCTATCTAATAAGAGAGAAACATGGTAATTGGCGTACAACCGCTACCCCTCCAATTGGCTAATCAGGGGCGATATGCAAATTAACTGTCAGCCAAGATGGCTGCCGGCAGCCAGGAAGCTTAAACTGAACATGAGGCTTGCTTGCTTCAGTGACGGAGGACTGCAACGTTC